AGGTCTGATCAGGTCTACCAGAGGTCTGATCAGGTCTACCAGAGGTCTGATCAGGTCTACCAGAGGTCTGATCAGGTCTACCAGAGGTCTGATCAGGTCCACAGGTCTGATCAGGTCCACAGGTCTGATCAGGTCCACAGGTCTGATCAGGTCCACAGGTCTGATCAGGTCCACAGGTCTGATCAGGTCCACAGGTCTGATCAGGTCTGAGGACTGATCAGGTCTGAGGACTGATCAGATCCACAGGTCTGAGGAATGATCAGGTCCACAGGACTGATCAGGTCCACAGGTCAGATCAGATCCACAGGACTGATCAGGTCTGAGGACTGATCAGATCCACAGCTCTGATCAGGTCTGAGGACTGATCAGGTCTGAGGACTGATCAGATCCACAGCTCTGATCAGGTCTGAGGACTGATCAGGTCTGAGGACTGATCAGGTCTGATCAGGTCTGAGGTCTGATCAGGTCCACATTGGCCCAGCCTGTGCTGTGGTCTCACATCAGGACCTGGTCTGTAGACTCAGTGGTCTGTGGTCTTCTGAGGACCAGGAACTGTTGGTCTGACTCATCAGATCTTCCTTCAGTTTCCGGTTTGATTATTTATCAGCCACGTCTTCACTTCCTGAACCAGCTGGTGGACTGGTTAACACACCAGTCCACCGGACTCCCTTCAGAACCGGCAGGTTTTGGGTCTCGTGGGTCAGACCCAGCAGCAGCTGAAGTTTGTGTTCACCCCAAACTTCTGGACCACACTCGGGTGTTTCCGGTCAAGTTCGGCTCTGCTGCCACTTGTTGCTTCTGGTGTGTGAGTCAGAAACTGGACCGCCTGGTGACTCACTGTGGGTGTGTGTGTAACGGTTCGACACACAACATAAACTACTTCAAACACACCTCGGAACCGTCTTCCCACGTCACTCGTGTTTTCTCACGGTGCTGTTTTTTCTAAACCGAGCCGTTTGTTGAACGGAGTTCAGCGGGACGGACTGAACGGGCCTGTCGCTCCGCCCCGGTACGAGCGGCTCCACGGGGACACGGTACGCCCGGTGTCCCGGCTCCACGCCCTACCTGCCGTGTCGCAGACCTTCTCCCGCTCGAGCACTTCCCCTTTCCGACTCGACGGTCCGGTTCCCAGCCTGGTGTTGTGAGTTCGGTCCCGTTTCGCCACAGGTTCGGTCTGCTTGATGCGCATTTGCGCACTGTAACAGTAATCACGTGACTGACAGTTCTTCTTCTACGTTTCCGGTGAGTTTATGAGTCAGTGCAGAGCGCCCCCTGCTGTTCACAACCGCTTCCTTCATGGAAACACAGCAAATAAATACAGAAAACATTTGATTTTCACAGCAACAAAAAATAAATTTACCTTTTCAAAATGTTGTTACTGATGTCATTAATTACATTTCTTTATTCATTTAGTTTTCTCTTGTTTCTCTAGGCCTATCAGTTATACTCACTATGTACATATCCAGAAGAATTGTTTATTGTCATTCATACACAACATCAAGATGCAATGTAGAACAAAATTTGCAGTTTAGAACATAAATACATATAAATGTATTGTTTTTATTTTTAAATAGGGGCAGATATGAGATATTTTTCTTCTTCTGCTTCCTTTTATTTTATGTGTTTTATGTTTCTTTTTTGTTGTATTTTTAATTAAAATGATAAAGTATTAAACTACGTCTTGAGGTTAGAGTACAGTATTAAGGTTATTTGTCTTTTAGTGTCCACAGGGTTTTGTTAAATGTCTTTAACACCATGTTTGTGTTTACTGTTGTGTTGTCAAAGAGTTTGTCAAACTTTAATGGAGATTAAAGTGAGTTGTTTCTGTTTGTCAGTAAAATGTGGACAGCTGAAGGACTCAGTCTGTCCCTCACCTTCAGAGGGTCCAAACTTCTGCTGTGCATCTTCTAACGGCACATTTCCCCTGTTAGCGCTGCTGCCTGTACATGTTTTATCTGTTGGTTTGACGTCACTGAAACCATCTCTTCTTCCCTGTTTGGCACCACATCATGTTGAGTTGTGGTTTATTTGAATTGTTTTTGTGTGTTTGTGTTTATTCTCTGCTGTTCGTTGGGTTGGTGTGGCTGTGGCTTCGATGGCCCACTGTCTCACCTTTAGTTTGGTTTGTCTGGCTCACCAGGACCATCCTTTGTTTGGACTTTGAGTTTTGTTTTTGGTTAGTTTGGGCACAGGTACAGAAAGGTTCATATTGTTTTTTACTTGTTCTGCAGCAAAGTTTTAGTTTCATGTTTTTCGATGGTTCCAGGAAGAAGAAAACGAGCAGAAAAATGAATAAAACCAAAATGTTTGAAGCTGAATTCTGTTTCTGTGTCTTCTGTAAGTTGTTTTCTGTTTGTTGGTGTGTAACAGGGGCACGTGTCTGCAGTGGTGTCAGTTGAACAGCAGAGGGCGCTGATGCAGAAAGGTTTCATCTCCTGAACCTTTCCAGGACCCATCTGATCCTGTGGTTCCACCTCCCAACAGGCTGTGACACATTCAGCTGGAACTGAATATTTCACTTTGTCCTGTTGAAGGTCCAGCTTACAGCCTTGTGTTTAGCTCCATGCATCTCCACAGCATGATGCTACCACCGCCGTGCTTCACAGTGGGCCTGAATGTTTGTCCCACAGCTGGAGACACACTGTGGAGACTAACAGTTGTCCTGTGGACAGACCACCTCATCAGCTGCTTGGAGCTCTGAGGGGCTTTAGGACCATGGAGAAGAACTCTTTGATGAATCCAAACCAAACACGCGCCTCCTCAGTATTCAGAGCACATTTCTCCTCCTCCTCCTCCTCTGCTCTGAAAACTCACAGCAGCTGAAGGCTCCCTCCTCCTCCTGTTCTCCATCTCTTCTCTGGAGGAGTCATCCTCAGCGGAGGATATCTGGATCGTGGCTACCTGCTCACCTCCTGCTCACCTCCTGCTCACCTCCTGCCCACCTCCTGCCCACCTCCTCCTCCTCTGTCTTTGTGTGCCGGAGCTTGTCAGCGGGACACTGCTGGCTTCGTGTCCGGCTCAGAGCGCTGTGAGGACGGCCTGAGGACGCCTGGATGAAGCTCTCATGTCTCACCTTGGGAGGTGAGTGCGCGTGAGTGATACCAGCAGGATGACGTCAGAGCCAGGGTTCAGGTTTGATCGTTTACCTGGTTCTTCATCATTTATCTGTTTATCTGCGACTGGCCCGTGCACGTGCGCGCGCTTGTGTGTTTGGCGGGATTTCCAGGCGGTTCCTGAACGTGTTCAGGATTATTGGACCTGGATGAAGAGAAGCTGCAGACAGAAAATCCCTCAGATCACAGTCAAATCTGATCAAACTGAAGAGAAACACGTCAAATATCTCAGAGCAAATTAAAACAATATCTGCAGAAATGTTCAAACATCAAGTTTACATCAACTTTCTTCTATAATCTTAATAAAAATTCAGAACTATTTTCTACATTATTTTCTATCTTTAAAAACCAGGTTGTCCAATTAAAACATTTAATAAAATCCATTAAAACCTGCCAACATTTAACAATGAGGTCTGTGGAGTGAAGCAGTCATAAAATCTACACAAAACTACATTTACCAACATTTAGATTAACTTAAGATTAATAAAACATTATATTATAAAGGTAGAACACTGAGAATTAGCATTTAACCTCAACTTTAACTGGAATTCTATTATTATCATTGTGGATGGATGGATGATGGATGGATGATGGATGGATGAATGGATGGATGAATGGATGCATAGATGGATGATGGATGGATGGATGGATGATGGATGGATAGATGGATGATGGATGATGGATGGATGATGGATGGATGAATGGATGCATAGATGGATGATGGATGGATGGATGATGGATGGATGAATGGATGCATAGATGGATGATGCATAGATGGATGATGGATGGATGGATAGATGGATGATGGATGGATGGATGGGTGGATGATGGATGGATGGGTGGATGATGGATGGATAGATGGATGATGGATGGATGATGGATGGATGGATGGGTGGATGATGGATGGATGGATGATTGATGATGGATGGTGGATGGATGGATGGATGATGGATGGATGACAGATGGATGATGGATCCTCTCACCCACTCATTCAGAGACACACAAGATGGACACAACACTCCCCATACACACTCTATACCCCCCAGGTCCAGGACATACACCCTCCCCCTTCAGAGGGCAGCCTACATCTGAACCCAGGATGTAGACCCCTTCATTCTGGGGTAGAGAGGAGCAGACAGCCATGGCCCGGCCCGGACAGCACCAGGCTGATTGAGAAGGGGTTATCTGTGGAATCAAAGTGGGTGTGTCACAAGAGTGGGCGTGTCTAAAGCATAAACACTGTGGGCTACGAGGCCTACATGACGGTATCCTTAGACCCTGCTTGACCTCTTTACATCCTGACCCCAACACTAAGGTTAACCAGGAGAAATGTGACCCAAGTAGGGGTCTCCAGAAAAAGTGGTGCTGTACAGTAACACCCCTTTTGTTCTTGGTTCCAATCAGGTGTGTCACTTTAGAACCGCCTTTCCTTGTGACACGCCCACTCGTCCGCAGAGAGACCCCTACTTGGGCTGACAGGTCAGCCCCCCCCCCCCCGCTGCAGTGAAGCCACGCCCTCAACCACTCCCACACAGCTCCAATGGCCAAGTGCACACCCCCAGCCAACCACAGCTACCAGGAGCCAGACCCCGTGAATCCAAATGGCTCCAGGGAAGCCGGAGCACCAGCCCCACCCCTGGCTCCCCCCCAGGCCCCAAACCCACCTGCAGCCCAGGCTCCCACCAGACGGTGGGACAACTGTGTTAAATAATTTTCATTTATTCAGGAGAAGAGCCACAGACCGGACCCATGGGCCAGTCCCAAAAATAAAATAAAATAAAATAAAATAAAGTAAAAATCTATCTGGCACTTTGGAGAAACCAGACAGTCTTGCAGCTGATGTGCTAAATGAATCTGAACAAAATAAAATTCGATTAAAAAATAATCTAATCTACTGTATGTCTGAATAAAGCTGTTGATGATGTTCACTTCCTGTTGACCTCATTTTATACAGAAACAAATTAAACTTTAATTAATGAAGAATTTAATTTGATTTGTAGTTTGATATCTTCATATGAACATTGTAGTGTTACACAACAGTATTAATAGACTATTTAATCTATTTTAACCAAYTTATATCAGTCTACATTATTACATTTAAAATTATAATTCAGTTCAAACAGAATAACTTATTGTCAACATAATTA